ACATGGTGTCGGCGTCGGCGTCGGCCACGGAAATGAAAGTGCTTGTGTAAGTGTCTTCTGACAACAGAGCAATGGATTCGCTAGCCGTATGCTTAATGCCTCAGCTGTTGCTGGCTTACGCCCTTGGAGAAGTTGGCTGGTGTCTGGTGGACAACTTGATGGCTTCATTAGTAAGGACTCGGTGATTCGTATCGACAATGCGTACGAGAATAGAAATTCAAGATCAATTTAGTTTCACCTTCACTTAATCAGACCCGTATGTGCTTACGTACCCTCTTTTCCAGGCGCTTCGTTTTCCGACAAATGTTTCCTACTCGACAGGAGCAAGTGAAACACTAAATGCACATGCATGTGGCCTTCAATGGGAGTCAGTCTTTACCTCCAAACAATAGGAGGGGAGAGTTCTTGAAGAAAACGCGTAAGTTCACCGCGGGAAAATGGCTAGTGGTCGCAGTCTTCAGACGTCGTCTTATCCGCTCGCTTGTTGCATTGCCTTAGAAATACAGTTTTAGAACCACGTTCTTCTTTTCTGGGGTTAAGGTAAGAGGCTCTACGGTGCGTTCGTCCATATTCCTGAGAGAGAGCAGATCCGTCGTACTCTAGCTGCTAATCCCTGAACTGGATTCCTTTTTATATTTTAGCGAAGACAATTGGGAAAGTGCATGCATTGTCCCGTCCAGGTTTCACATTGGAATACCGTAGGCAGGATAGATCAATCCTTTTGCCTTCGCAGAAGGACATTAAGGAAAGCAATTTCATCGTCCACCTCAGTCTGTGCAGAACATTTGAGTGATGGATGCGCGCTGTTCAACTTGGCGACCAGTGCGTCAGTGTCAGCGTTATAGTCTGTCAAACAGAAGATATCATCCACATATCGATCGTAAAATGCAAGGTCATTTATGGTGTCCCTTAGACTCGTTTTTTCGGACTTTCTCATAAAAATATTTGCGAGAAACGGGCCAAATGGTAGCCCACACTATCTATTTATCTGTAAAACCGACCATTTTAGAGAAATTGTTTATTTTGTGTGCATCGCGTAAGTAGTTCTTTGAGGGTTTTCAAAGACTAAACTATCTGTTAGCTCCTGTCCTGAATAACTTCACGGAGATAGTTTATGATTTCTGCCATGGGTACGTAGGTAAAAAGTGATGATACATCCAATGAGAGCATCTTACTTCCACCAACGTTCATGTTCTTTATAGTTTCAAAAAACTCAAATGTGCCTTTCAAGCTTCGAGGCCTCAGCTTTTCTACCAGCCATTTGGCAATCATGTGATAATGGGAGTTTCTCATGTCCAAGATGGGACGCAAGAGCAGCTTCAGTTTGTGAATTTTCGGAAGGTCATACATTCTGGATACGGTTGTGCCTACAGGTCTTAGTCTTTCAAGCTCTTTGCCAGACAAAAGACCTTCTTTGTGGAAGGCTTTGAGAACTGTAGTTAACTGACCCTCGACGGCCTCTGTCCGATCTTTTTTATTCCCAGATTTTGAGAACTTCGTCCTATCTGCTGGGATAGTTTCTAGTTTCGAGACATAATCGTTGTAATTCGTCAGCACTATTCCGGACCTTTTGTCTAGCCTGGTCAGCTCGATGCCTTCATTTCTTCGGCGTCCCCTTAGGATATTCAGATGAGCATTTTTTAAGGGACCTTTGTTTGCTGGAGCCTTTCTTAAGTACTGCTGGCGGCAGTTCACCAGCGTCGACTTGAGATAGTCAACTTCTCTAGGCTCGGTAAATTTTAGGTCGGCAGTCTGGCTAAAGAGGCTCTCAAATTCGGTTTCTTTCTCCAGTTGCTTCGGCCTTTTTCGTGCAAGGCAGAACTTAGGGCCTAGAGCTTGTGGCTCTAAGAGAATTTTGTCAGAAAGTTTTCGCAATATGAAAATATATACTTATACGTAAGTGGGAGAGTACACCTACCTCTGCGGAAAAATTGAACAGTGGATGGGCGGTGTTAAAATACCTGACCATAGCATCGGTGTCCGTGGAACATTCTGTGAGACAGAAGATGTCATCCACATATAACGGACTTGCTAGGCACCCATTAACTGGCGACACTAAAGATAAATTTGCAAACCCAAGAGATTTCTTCCTCACTGAAAGTATGTGTTTCGCCGATCTAGTAGAGAAAAAATTAAGTTCCGCTTTGCCCAAGAGCTCACAACTTAAACCCGCCAGACCGTCACATAGTGACTAGGATGATAAGATGAAATGGATCCGACAAAGCAAAGGGAGACCGGAATGGCCAATT